ATGACAAATCAGGAAGCTAAAATGGTATTTTATTCACTCATTGAAAATAATAATGATTAAATTGATTAATGACTAAATTAAATTAAAAATTAATAATGATTAAAAATAATGAATTTCTTTCCCTTCAAATTCAATTAAAGGTTAGAAGTAATCATGTCTAGTTCCTTTCTGAAGAGCTGACCAACACAAACTCAGAAAATCATTTCAGTTCTATTGTGATTTTCTTCCTTGTTCCTTTCCTCCACCCCTACTTCCTTTCTGCTGAGACCATGCCCATTTTGATGATATACAGCCACTGTACACAAAAAATACAGTATGCTGCTACTTGGGAGAATGTAAGACTCTCTTATTCACATATTAAGAATGACCATGTTCTAAAATACTGTGTTTTAATCTACACATTAGAATGACACTGAGCATAAGAAAAGAAAGGAGTCAGGAAAACAGGGAAAGAAAAGAATTGGTAGGAAATGTTGCTACAGAGCAGTGGTCTTCAAAATGAGAGATGAACCCACCCCACCTACCCTAGTAGATTACATCATGATACCCAGGGGACAGTAGCATAATTATGGCATGACTTCTTAGAGGGTGGGAAACTGGGTCCTAAGTATCCCACCATTACCAAGATAGCCAAGAAGAGATCTTATCTCCAGCACAACTCTACCACTGTCCTTCCCTTTACCTTTAAGGAGCAACACTTCTCTCCTTAACACCCTTTGGCTGCTGGCTTTCCATGGCTGTACAAATTTCTGTACATAGCTCAGTATCTGGTTCTGGCCTCTCAGAGTGACCAAAAACTCTTTGCGACCCAGTTTGGGGTTTCATGGCAAAGATACTGGAGTGGTTTGCCATTTCCTTCTCCAGCTCCTTTTACAGATGAGGAAACCGAGGTAAATTGGGTTAAGTGACTTGCCCAGGGTCACAAAGCTAGTAACTATCTGAGGCTAGATTTGAAGTCAGGAAGATGAGTCTTCTTGACTCCAGTCCCAGCAGTCTAATCCACTGTTCCTTCTAGCTGCCCTTTATCCACTTTTGTAGTAGTGAACAGTTGGGATCTTTGCAAGCACTGTCATTTCCCAGATGTAGTGATCATTACAAAATTAGCTATTTGTGTTCAGTTAAATCATTGACTGGTTAGAGCTGGGGTTTTTAGCTTTTTTTTGTTGTTCCATGGATCTCTCCAGCAGCCTGATGAAGTGTATGCTTCCTTCTCAAAATCATGTTTTTAAATGCATAAAACAAAATACAAAATATTAGAAAGAAAACCAAAAACATTGAAACAGTTATGAAATTAAAAAAATAATTAACAGACCCCCAGTTAAGAAGCTCTGGGTAAGAACAAAGGACAAATGCAAACACCAAGTTGGAAGGATATGGCTGAAAAGATATCAAGTTGTGATTAGTTTCAATCTGATTAGTTTAAATAAATTGATAACTCTAAAAAATGGGAAATAAAATAAAAAACATTAACTCTTGTTTTCTTAATCTACTTCCTGTTTTTTTAATATTCCCTGCCCCCTGTTTGGAAAGGGAAATTGGGATGGGAGGGGAAGGTAGAATGGGAAGAATTCTGTCCCAGGAGAACATAATCTCATTCCAATGTCTCATTATATATAAAGGTAATTCTAGTTTCTTAAATTAAATGCCAGAAGTATATAAGTTATAGTAAGTTATAGTATATAAGTCTGTCATCTGTGTGTGTACCAGCTTGGATGCATTTGAAGAAGTTTGTTACCAAAGATGATTACTTGGTGATAAACTATAGAATTTAAAGCATCACTGAATCAGGGAAACTTTGGATATATTGAGGATTTCCGAATATCCCTAAAATCATATGACCATAATGAGCAGGACTGACATAGGCCATTCCTCTGTTAAGTTTAGTTTTGGTTTTAGAGCAAAATGAAGCCCTCAGGTCATTCAGCAGTTAGCAAAAGGAGGTTTACTTTGCCACAGCAAAGAAAGTACATTCAACAAAGACACTGCAACATTCTGCTTGCGCAGAGTTAGTTCCCTTTGATGGTTAGAAGGGCAGAGTGTGGTAAATGAGGGGTCTTAATACATTTTTGAACCTTAGCCCCACTAGACCAATGAAGTCTGAAGTCGGTTTTTTGCCCTTTAGGGAGGAAAAAAAATAACAAAGCAAAACTAGCCTAATCCATGTGGTGGGAGGAGGGGGAGCTTTGGCAAACATCTGAATTACACTTTAAGGTTTGCAGAAAGCTTTTTCCCTAGCTGCCTAATGAATAGTAAAAGTATGCTCTGGCTCTTTTTCCCTGAGCAATTAATGCACTGCATAGTAATATGTTATCCCTCATTCTGATTACATGACTTTTTTTGTTGTTGTTATACATGTCCTTATTTCATTTGTTACCTATCATGCATAAGCCATGGTTAGCAATACATGGCAGTCTATGTCCATTATTTATCATTTTATTGCCTTTTTGCAACTCAACCATTTTGAGTCTTCTGAAATTATATCGTTTCATGATTCAAAGCCATCTACATTCTCTGTCATTTAAAGGCAGACTAGGGGGTGGGAAGAGGGTGGGTGGAGTGTCAGTAAGCAACTTCTAATCATCAAAAATGCTCCATCATTTCACAAATTCAGTCTGGGTGAATCTCTTCTTCCTATTTAAGCCCAGCTTGGTTGGTGTCCTCTAGTACCTACCTGTCCAAGGTATTTTTGATAGACTACCAATCCAAGTGTAGGTAATCTAAACAAACTGCATTTTTCATCTACTTTTTTTTTTAAACTAGTGTGGATAGAAAGGAATTAAGTGAGTACAAGTGAGAAATCAGTAATCATTGTTTAGCAGAACAACGTTTTAGGAGACATTATAGTGTAGTTTGAGTTTGTGAAACTTTCTTCGTCATCTACATGTGTTGCATTGGGTATCTTTAGTGCTTAAAGTGAGTTTAATTTATTTGGAGGATTTAAAATTTTGTGACGCTCTGAGACAGAAAAATTTGTGAATGTTGAAAAATAAGACCTCAGAATCGTCCAGAAATGCAGCATAGAAAGAACATTAGATTTGGAGTAGGAACACCTGGAGTCCTGGCTTTGCTACTGTGGTTGGAGCAACATCCTAACACCTTCCCCCAGGCAAGTTAAATTAGCTTTTTCTTGAAAGGTATGGAGACATTCCCTGAGGTTTGATTGGAACTAACATTCAGGGTAGTCAAGACTCAAAACTCTCTAATCTTTGGTCGATGGATTAGCAGGGGCAATTTAGGCTTTGTTCAGCTGAATCAACTCAAGGTGTCTTCAATGCCTATCTCCGATGAATTTCCTCTGGTCAAGTAAATCTCTTTTTTGTTAATGACTTAGAGCATCACATTTTGTTCCAATATCAAACTGAATGGAGCAATAACAGTGAAACCTGTAGTCTAGAGTTGTCAGTTACCCCCAGCACATGAATTTTCCTCCTTCATGTGCTTTTCAGGTTCCCCTGTGTGCCCACTCTTCAACATCGCTGATGTATATTGTGATGTATTTTATTATGTATGGTTTTACTTTATTATTTCTTTAGCTTAATTATGAAGTAAATGGTCATTTTTAAATCATAAAAGTGTCATGGTAAGAGCCTGGTTGTATAAATATCATATATCATAGAGATGTGTTACCTCACAAGGGGCTAGTTGTGGAGATTGAAAACAACACTGGATGGGGGCTTTACAGCAACAGTAGCAACTAGAAGTGTATTTCCCCTCAACAGGGTTACCCTGAGGGTCCTGGGAGAGTTTGAATGAAACTGTATGGTGGTGGTCTCATTCTGGGAACTTAGCCCTGTGAGGGTGCTAGGAGTAACTTGATAGGTAAGTGGTGTGAGGCCCTACACAGTGTGGATTTTCACTCCCTCCCACGTGTCTAAACCCTACCTGTTGCACATTTATGGGAGCTAAGCTACCTATTTTTTAAGCAAAGCAGTCAGAGAACTATGATAAAAAGAATCTTTCTGATTTAGAACTAGAAGACTTGAATTTCAGTCCTGACTTTTACTTACTGTGGGATCTTAATAAAATCAAAAGGTAGTTTCCTCATCTCTAAAATAGAAATATGCACCCCCACTTACAACCCTAGGTGGTTGTAAGGTTCCATATTAAGTTCTCAAGGTATAATGTACTGAGTCCTGCTTCCTCCATAACATCTTCCATGACCATTTTAGCCCACACTGATCATCTTTCCTTTCTCTGAACTCCTATAGACCCTCATAGCCTGTTCCACAAAAGTTTGTTACTCAGTTGCTTTCTGATTGTTGGAAATATGTTACTTTGATCTCCTACATGACAGGCTCAATGAAGGAAGGGACTTTTGTCTTTATTAAAAAAAAAATTCGTGAAGGGCCTAGCACACAGTAGTGCACATAGTTGATGCATAACAAACACTTGTTTGGCATATCTGGTGAAATGATAGAGAATCAAAGGATTTATATATCTAGTCTGGCCCTTAATTTTACAGGAAACTGAGACCACAAATTGTTTCCTATTTCGTGATTTTAGCTAAGTGAGCAGGTTGAACAAAGAATGTCAATTTAACCAAAAGTATAGATGGATGGATAGATAGAGAAGCTGCCTGGTTGACAGAGCTCTGGGCGGCCAGTCAGAAAGCTCAGAGTTCAAATCTTACCTCAGATACTTAGGAATTGTAGGTAAGTTACTCTGCCTCAGTTTCTTCTTATATAAAATGGGTGTAATAATATGCCCTCCCTCATAGGGTGGTTATAAGGATCAAATGAGATAAATATGTAAAGCACAATACAAAAATTACCTACTATTACTAGCTATGATGTGAACAGAAATATCACATTATCCTGTTACATTTTGCCCTCTCTAGTTCAATGAAAATGCCCTCTCTTGTATCCAATGATGCAGTCCCCACGACAGGAAACACGCTTTGAATTTTTTTCACTAATTATTAATAAATCTTTGTTTTCATAGTAATTAGAACCCACACACTGTCAAAATCTCATAGATTTTAATTCAGGTGAGTTTTTTCTACCTCATTTGGCAAAATGTCCCTAGTTTTGAATTTTAATGAATCTGAGATGAAAGGTTTTTTTTATTTGTGTATTTCCTCCTTCTTCCTCAGCAGATACAATCCATAGTTTCGTTTGAAATCTCCAGTTAGGTGTTATGCAAGGCCTATTTCTGAGAACGCCATTCCCCAACAGGCCCTTCTGGCTTTGCTTTCTTCCTTGGCAGTTGGTGGCTCTGAGAGTGTGATTTAAAAATGTAACCGTTGGGGGAAAATAAGCCTTTTCCATGAGCCTGTAAATCTTCGGCCATGGGTGCCCTTCAACCGCATTGGAAAGAAACACAAACTCCTCGGGAAGATAACGCGGGGGGGGATAACGCGGCCGGACTGGCCCGGGCTAGCGGGCGCCCAGCTGTGCCGACCCGGCCGCCTGGGCCTGGCCTGTGGCGGGAAACTCCAGCACCGGGCCGCGAGGGCAGGGGCATGGCTGGGTGAAGGGGTAAGGGAGAGAGTGGCTCCACCGACCTCGGACCGGGCCAGGGCGAGGAAAATCGGGCCGTTAGAGGGGCGAGCCCGGCCTAGCGCTCAGCTCTGAGTAGTTTGCGGAGAAATTTGGGACCGTCCGGGGCCCAAGGGAGGAACACGTGCACACCCAGCGGGCCCAAAGTGTCTTTTGTTTACTGGGGAGTTTTCGCGAGAAGGGAAAACCCAGGCCCCCGAGGGCCGACGGCCTGCTCTGGAGGAGGGGGCGGGGCGCTGAACACCCCCGGGCGCCAAACCGCGCGCTCAAGGGAGAGGAACTGGCGCGCGGGCGTGTGCTTCTGAGGCGCGGGGGCGGGGTGAGGGCGGGGCCAGCCTATATAGCTCGTCCCGCCCCGCTCTTCAGCCCGCAACCCCACAGGTCACTCTCGTCTGTCCGTCCCTCGCTTCGTGGGCCGCTGTTTCTTTAAGGCCGGATCCGCACGGATCTCGCGAGAACCGGTTGGCGCCGTGACCTCCATGTGAGAGCAGCAAGCTCTTCATAAACAGTCCCAGTCAGTCCGGTCCGCTATGGCTCCTTCCTATTTTTAAAGCCGCGGCGGCGTAGGCATTGTCAGTGTCTCCTGCGGCTCTTCGCCCCCGCCTCCTCCCAGTTCCGGCTGTTTCGCTCCTCCTCTTTCTCCCCCGCTCCGCTTCCTCCCCCCTCCCCGACCTCTGGGGGTGTGCGCGCTCGGGGTACCGCCGGCCGCCACCGCCGAGTGCTCCGGGCGCTCCGCGCACGCTCTCGCTCACTCTCTACCTCGCGCTCTCCCTCGTGCGCTCGGGGTCCCCAGGGGCTGGGGAGGCGCGCGGTGGGGGTGTGAGAGCCTCGGCCAAGAGGAGGGGGAGACAAAGAGGGGAGGCACCGGCGCCCCCCCAGTCCCCGGCTCCGCTCCGCTCCGCACCCCCACCCCCTCTCGGGTCAGGATGTGGATCCAGGTCCGCACCATAGACGGCACCGAGACGCGGACTATCGACGACCTGTCGCGTCTCACCAAGATCGAGACGTTACGGGAGAAGATCCGGGAGCTGTTCAACGTGGCCCCGGACCGCCAGCGCCTCTTCTACCGGGGCAAGCAGGTGAGAGATGCTCCGGCCCTGGGACTGTTGTCCGTCCCTCCTCCCTCGCCTCGTACCTGGGCACCTGTCTTCCCCGCCGCCCCCCCCAGCTCCTCTGCCTCCAGGTGCGCAGGGAGGCCGTAACATCGCTCGAGCTTCACCTGGGGACTGGCGGGGGGACCTTTTGGAGAGCCAGGAGTCGTAAGGCTGGGCGCTGCAGGGGACGTCTCCAATCTCTCATTTTGTACATTGGGACCCCCAGCTGGGGAGAAGGGACGCGGCTGGGAAGGGGAAAGTCCCGCTCTTGCGCACCTGTGGACCAGGTCCATCCTTCTGCTGGTCCTGCCCGCCCAGCTCTCCTGGGGCAGGAGGCTGGCTGCTGAACTTAGTCAGGTGGGAAAGGTGGAGAAAGGGAGGGCTGGGAAGGCAGGCTCTCCCCTACTGGATTTGGCGGGTCTCTGGATCCTGTCTGCATCCGTGGGGCTGCTGCAGTAGCAGCGACACCCTCGGGCCCCCCCCATCCCCAACACACACACACACACACACACACACACACACACACACACACACACTCACACTCACACTCACACTCACACTCACACTCACACTCACACTCACACTCACACTCTCTCTCTCTCTCTCTCTCTCTCTCTCTCTCTCTCTCTCTCTCTCTCTCTCTCTCTCACTCACTCACACACTATGTCATTCCCACCCACCTTCTTCGCACTGGTACAATGAAGGTGGTGTGGAGGTTATGGAGATGAATGGTACAGATGCCGAGACCATGTGTCATAGGCTTTTCCTGGGGTACCTAAGAGGCTGTCTTCTGGGATCCACTTGGAGGTGTGGAGGAAGAGGAAACCTAGCCTAGACTTTTTTTTTTCCCTAGGCCCCACCCGGGCTTTGAGAGAGTGTGGTGTGTGTGTGTGTGTGTGTGTTGTGTATATGGGGGAGGGGGGTGATGGCAGGGAGAAGCCCATCCGGAGAGTGCTGGCTAGGAAGTACCGTGGGTGGGTGAAACAGACACGTGTTCTAGGTTGCTGCACTCGAGTGAGGTGAGCGGAATGGGTAAGGGTAGGGTTGCGGAGGAGGAGGGAAATACGACGGGTTATTGAGCATCAGGTTTTTCCCTTAGCTCCATGTGTAGGCCGTGTTTAAAAAAAAAATTTAATTTTTCCACACAAAAACAAATGAGGCTCCGCCACCTCCCTAGACAGACACTCTCTTTGGGAAGAGAGCTGCTGCCTATTGGGACCAGCGGCAGAGTTTTTCTTTTTTTTTTTTTTTTTTCCTCATTGCTGGATAGAGGAAGGGTTTGGCGGGGTGGGGCACGCCGGACTGTGGATTGGAATACATCCTATTTTCCTTACCCATTTCCAATTCTAGCTGTGCCTTCCTATGTCAGGTAATGTTTTGAGAGTCTTAGGCTAATTTGAAGTGCAAAGTTCATTGGATATGGTGACTTCTGCCTTCAGTGTGTGTATGGCCCTTTTGGAGTCTGACTCATATGGATCACTGCTAACTCACACCATAACCCAATGCCCTCTTAAATGTTTTTGTATTATTTTCAACCCTTGAAAATAGTCGTAATGTTAAGACACTCCCAGTTGTGTGACTACATTCTCCCCCCAAAAAATTCTGACCCCTACCCTCGCTGGGCTTACTATCCCTAGTATTTTTATATTGATTGGCACAAGCTGTACCTCATTGCCAGAAATCTACTTCACCTGTGCCTCTTACAACCCATTTCTTACTTCAAAGCTCAGGTGGGGTGTTAAATGTTTTCTCTGCTTTCAAACTTTTGTATTTATTGCTTGTATTTTCCCTTCAGTCAGAAAACATTAAATGCTTAGTATATGCCAGATACAAAGAAAGGCAAAAATACTGCCCTCAAGGAACTCTCATTTTAATAAGTAATAGAGTTAGAGACAAGCTTATTCTGGTCTTGATACCCATCTACTGCATTTAAAAAAAATACAGTGCTGGGTACATAGTAAACCTTTAAGAGCTTTTTGTTTTTAATGGGGGGAAGGGGGAAGAATGAGGAAGCAATTTTCCCCACAGTTAGAAAGAGTCTGAATAACGTCTCCTTTTAGATTTACTGTCACCATTCTTCTACCCTTTATGGATGAATGGTTTTATCTCTGACTATGTAAAGTTTATGGAAGAAAACGCAAACTCTTTATTTAAAGCCCTTCAGGATTTGGTCCCAGCCTGCTTTTCCAGGGTTATTACACGTTACTCTATCTCCTCTTCTTGCACTTGATGGTCCAACCAAAGTGGTGATCCTCAAATGATGTCCAGTCTCTATTTACTATACTTTTATACTGGCTGACCCCCATACCTGGATTACACTCCTATGCCTCTTAAAATTCATTTGGTCTTGTTCAAATTTGTTTCAGTCTTGCCCATCTCTTAATTTGGGGTTTTCTTGGCAAGGATATTGGAGTGGTTTACCATTTCCTTCTCCAGCTCATCTTACAGATGAGGAAACTGAGGCAAACAGTTCAGTGACTTGCCCAGGCTCACTTGACTAGTAAGTGTCTGAGGCCAAGTTTGAAGTCTGGTCTTCCTGACTGTAGGCACAGCACTCTATCCACTTTCTCACCGTGCTGCCCTTAAAACTCAGTAACCCTCAAAGCTCATCTCAAGCACCAGCTTTTATATGAGGCTTTTCCCGATTTCCTCCCTAGCCCACCTACTTCTTCAGCACCCCTAGAAATTGTACTAATATATGTAAATAACGTTTTCCGCAATAGAACATTAGCCCCTTGAGTTAGAGGATTGTTTCATTTTTGTCTTTGTATCCCCAGGATGGAGCCTGGCACAGAGGAGGCACTTGATAAATGCTTGTTCATTCATTTTTTTTAGTTCATACCTGAACATATTTTTAGCATTCAGCATTGGTCCTCTTTGGGGGTATGTTATTTTTGTTTTTGTTTTGGTGGGTACCTGTGAAAGGCCCAAATATAATGACTCAGTAACTGGACTCTAGTGCTTAAGGCAGGGGTGGGGAAACCTTTGGCCTTGAGATCCTTGGGTGAGGCCTTTCAACTGAGTCCAAGTTTTACAGAACAAATCCTTTTATTAAGGGGATTTATTCTGTGAAGTTTAATTCAGTCAGAGGGCTGCACTTGAGGACCTAGAGGGCCACTTGTGTCCTTGAGGCCACAATTTCCCCACCTGTGGCTTTAAGGCTTATGAAGTATTTTCCCCATCTTACCCCTTTGAGGTATATATTGCAGGTATTACAGCTAGGTCCTTATTGGTGCAAATAAGGATCCCTTGAAGTGGTTGCATTATTTCAATTCCAGTTGCATGTTTCCATTGGGCTTGAACCAATGGAACCAATCATATTACATAATTATAACTAAAAATAGTGTAGATTTTAAATGGGTACAGCCATGTTGAGATCATTAGTCATGCTAATTGGGAGTAGAGCTATTATCACCATTTCCTAAGTGAAGAAAATGAGGCTCAGAACTTAAGTGACTTGTCCAGGTTCCTGAAACTCTTAAGGGCTAGCACAGGTAGTCAAACCCAGGCCTCTGTTCACTTGGGTTCATGTGTTCTTTACTTTAAAGGGTAGCCTCCAACTAAACCAAATCTAGTTGGGCAAAATCTGCAGGCTGTTTTCTAATAGTTAGTATATTTTGTTAGGAAGCTCATTTTGTGTGTGTCTGTGTACATATATATGTGTATATACACACACATATATACTGAGCTTTTTAATTTTAAAGTTCAAAAGTTGTGGGTAGACTTAATTTTTAGGCTTCATAAACAAGTGAATACATTTCAGATGTAAGGAATAGTATAAACAGAGATGGAGCTAGGAGGATGCTGTATGTGTACAAGGGATGGCAAACAGTTCATTTTGTGCTATAATCTAGAGCACTGGGAGAGGAGAATCATGGAGGCTAGGAAGGTAGGTGCTAGATTGTAGAGTGCTTCCAAGTACCAACTAAGGAATTTGGATGTTAAATTCAGTGAACAGTTATAGTTGGTGAAAGAGTTTTGAGCAGAAGGGACACACTATCAAATCTGTTGTTATGATGACTGATCTGGCAACAATGTAGAAAGTGAATTGGGAGGAACTGAAGGAAAGCAGGCTAGCTAGGAGGCTTTTGGGTGGTAATAGAAATCAAATGGGAGGGCAAAAATGTGAGAAATTGTGGAGGTAGGAAGTTTCATTTCCAGTAGTTAGTCAAATATTAAGTACCCTCCTACAAGCCAGACACTAAGCTAAGAGCTGGGGATACAAAGAAAGGCACAAGACTGTCTCTGCCCTCAAGGAGCTCACCATTTAATGGAGACAACATGCAAACAACTGTGTATAAATAAGCTGTACATAGAATGAGTAGGAAATAATCAAGGTAAGGCACTTGAATTAAGAGAGATTGTGAATCTTGAAGAAGGTGACTATTTAAACTGGGACTTGAAGAGTCAAAGTAGAGGAGAGAGAATATTCCAGGTGTGGGGTACAACCAGTGAGAATGCTCACTTGGATGATGGAGTGTGTTGTGTGAGGAACTGCAAGGAAGCCAGTGTCATTGGAGGAGTGGTAAGGTATAAGAAGAATGGAGAGGTCTGGAATGATTTGAATTGACTCTGAATGCCAAACAGGATTTTTTATCTGATTCTGGAGGTGATAGGGAGCAACTGGAGTTTGAGTAGGGATGTGATGTGATTGGACCTTTGATTTTGCTAAATGGAAAAAAAGGTAGAGTAAAAAAGCAAAGCTCTAAGCACAATCAACTAGCTTTGGGAGTATGACCAATAAATTGGGTCCATGACTCCTCAGCAGTCAAAGAGGCTGAGTGATAAGATCTTTTATAGTGATTAACAAGAGGACGGAGCAAAATCTCAAGCAACACAGGTGTCTACTGATTGCCTGACACTCTATCCATTGTTCCACCCAGTACCCTATGTTTAGTTTGGGCTTTTATGTTTGTTCTAATGCTGTAACCCCAATATATGGGAATAGGTACTGACAAAATTTTATACCAGATAGTCTACTTTAA